GGCCCACCCACACACTCCCTGAGCTACTTCTACCTGCACCTGCCAGACCCCAGCCGGGGGCCACCTCAGTTCTCCATTTGGAGCTACCTGGACGACCAGCCCATTGCTCGCTTTGACAGCCTCACCAGGAGGATGGAGCCCCTGGTGCCCTGGATGGAGGAGGTGGAGAAGGAGGCCTTTCTTTCTCCGAAGTGGGTCTTCAGGACCGAGCGGAAGTTATCGAAACGGGACCTCCTGGCTGGAGGTGAGCATAGCCAGTGCCTCCTTTGGTCTCCGAGGGTTGTTGCAGGGGACGTAGTGGTGAGATTTTCTTGCCTGAAAAGGAAAGACAAAACACACACACACACACACACAGAAACACACAGACACCTGATTTTCTCCCTCACTTAGAAATTCTACCTGGCCTGAGAGCAGCCAAACAGGATTAATGGAAGGAAAAGAGGTTTCTGCTTGTGTGATAAAGGAGGAATTGGGTTCCTCTCCCCAGGTGGGAAGGGGGGGTATATAGACTCTGATGCTGTCTAGGGCAGGAGTCACCAACTGGTGGTCCTCAAGAAAATTTTGATGGTCCACAGAAAAAAAATCATTTGCATTGTTTATATTGCACTCACTCAGGGTCCCTCAAACTATGCCGGATACCTGCAATGAAGGTTTGTGTTGCTGCAGAGAGTCTCCCCGTTTGGGGTCTTTTTGTGCTGGTCGGAGCGGGGACAGAAATTCCCACTCGGGGTCTGCTTCAGCCTCCTGGTGTGGGGTTTTGGGCGAAGGCGGGAGGGAAGGGCCGCTGGTGGTGAAGAGCCGGAGGGCCTCGTTCCAGTGGGACTGCATCATGGCCAGGAACTGGCTGACCCTCACAGCCCACTGAGCCTCCAGGTGCCAATATCTGGCCTTGCACTCCTGCAGGCCTTTCCTCTGCTTGGAAAGCCTCTGCTCCTAGTCCTCAGTGAGGTGCTTCTGCTGAGCCTCCTTCTCGGTCAGATTCCGTTGGAACGGAGCCAGCTATTTGGCCAACGCTTTCTTAGCTCCAAGCCCTGCTTCCTGTTGGGGCCCTAAGGAGCCCAGCGGGCAGGCGAGGACAGGCTGGGAGGGGGTGGGAGAGTAGAGGCTAGTGAGGCACTCCCCCTTGGCCATGACATTGAGTTGGCCACGCCCAGCCGGTCACATGACCACCTAGCCACGCCCACCCAGCTGGTCATTAGGCAGCTCATATTAGTGGTCCGCGGGATTTCAACTTACGCATTTAGTGGTCCCTGAGGTCCAGAAAAGGTTGGGGACCCCTGGGACTCTGGGGAGGGGAACCCTAGACCTCTTTCCTTCACCTCCACCCCCCCTGGGTCTCCTTCAGGGCCTCACACCTGGCAGGCGGTTTTGGGCTGTGAGCTCCGGGAAGACAGGAGCACAGGAGGTTTTTTCCACTACGGCTACGATGGGAGGGACTTCATCAGCTTCGACAAGGAGACCCTCACCTGGGTGGCAGCTCAGCCCAAGGCCTGGAAGTTCAAGAAGGAGTGGGAGGAGGATCCTGGTTGGTCCGAGAGAAACAAATTCTTCCTGGAGGAGACCTGCATTGAGTGGCTGCAGAGATACCTGTCCTACAAGAACAGGACTCAGGAGACGACAGGTGAGTGGCAAACGGGCGGGGAAGCTGCCTTTTCAAATATGGACCGAAAAGGTTCAGGAAGGATCCCAGATCGCATTACAGAAAGAAAATAATCTTCAATGACCCCTCCAAGTAAGTACTTTTTAAAAATGATAATAAGGTGAGCAAGGAATCCTTGCAGAAGGTCTCCTTCTATTTCCCTGGGAAAGTCTTGCAAAGGAAAAGAAATGGATTCGTGTGTTGGGGTCGGAAGGAAATTATCAGTCTGTTCCTGATTTCCATCCGAATAACTGGAACAACTTCAATTTGGGAGTTTAAAATTGAATCAATCTGTCAAATTGGGGATGAGGTTGGCCAATGTGAGAGCCTCACCCCAAATTCTAGGCATCCTGTTGAAAAATAAACCTAAAGAGCTCCGATGGCCCCTTTTGGGGGCTCCCACAGGCTGAAAGAGAGCCGTGGGGGAGGATGGCCAGGTGAGGCCTTGCTACTTCAATCGCCTGGCCAGAAACCCTCAAAATCCCAGGAATCCCATTTTGGCTGTTTCTGCAGAGCCCCCAGTGGGGAAGCTGAATTACAAAGCGGTGAATGAGAGGCTGGAGATCCTCACCTGCCAGGCCTTTGGCTTCTACCCCAAGGAGATCCAGGCCACCTGGAGGAGGGACGGAGAGATCTGGGAACAGGAGACCCTCCTTAGGAACATGGCCCCCAACTCAGATGGGACCTATTATCTCTGGCTCAGCATTGAGATTGACCCCAAGGAGAGGGACCGTTTTCGGTGTCACCTGGAGCACGAGGGCTTGCAGGAGCCTGGATTTGCCCTTCAAGGAGGAAAGAGGTGAGAGGCTGAGAGGGTAGAAGTAGATTTTAGAGAAATCTTTGAAAATCTGTGTGTGGGGGTGGGGTAGTTTTCTTCTGCAACATCTCATGTTTTCAGATGGAGAGCAGGAAAGGTCCTGCGTTTAGCAATGGGAGAGAAGTGGTTTCTGTCAGAAGAGTTGGAAATGGTAATTTTATAGCAACAGTATAAAGATATATGAGATGTTTGATTGTGGCTCCTCCTTCTTCCCTTCAAGGCCATTCCCTCCTCCCTCTGCAGCCTTGGAGGGGAAGGGCTTCCTTCAGGTGGGGGCACTTCCTGGAGGCCAAGGAAGGTCGGGAAAGGCTTCCACTCTTCAGCATCTCCACTTCAGGGAACTCTGGATCTGCCTAATCATCAGAACCATCTTTCTCCTTCTGTATCTCCATGGTGGCTGATTCCTGTGGTAATTGTAGCAGGCTTACTCCCAGTAGTTGTGATTCCCTTCCTGATATGTAAATGAAACAAACACACCCTCCAACACCCACCCCTGGGTCCTTCTGGGTTGACTGAGCTGGTGTGGATGGGAGAAAGGCTCTCTGAGGGTTGCAGCCAGGACCCCCATGAGACCCTCCCCCACAAACAGCATATAGAACATGGGCCAGAAAGGAAGAAGGAACTGTACAGCTCTTATTCCACTTCCTGCAAAACTCAATATATTCCTGTCCTCTGGGAGGTAAACTCTTTGGCCTCAATGCACCGCCTTCAGAGGAGCAAATATCAGCAGCTCAGGAGTCCAAGGAAAATTCCCTTAAATGTTCTGGGAAGAGCTGGAAAACCCATAATGCTGTCTCTGAAGAAGATCTATTTGCCACCTGGCAAAGGGAAGCTCTGATGGAAGGGGAGGTCCATGGAGGGAGAACCTGAGGACAGGCAGGAGCAGGGAGGAAGGTCCAG